CTTTTCCTCCAGGCCTCCAATCCGGTGGTTTCGCCAACTAAAACAGCATGTCCCCGCCTCTATTACAAGGGCGCTTCAGGACATCGCTGTACTCATGACTGCGGCAGAATTCTCGGCCCTCGCTGCCTATCATAAGGTTAAGTGTTCCTCTAGAACCCTAACCTCCCTGGTTACAGAGTCAAATTGGTCACAGCTCCCACCAAAGGGGACAGACTCTTTGGCACAGCCTTGGAATCTCTGCCAGTCGAGAGCCGAAGCAGGGAACAAGTCCTCCCCTCCCCTTTCAGAGGTCAGAGCCCAGAACCCCTCAGCCATTTCGGAAAGGGCCTCTTGTCCTTCTTCCAGTCTCCCTCCCCGCCCAGGTAACTCTTCTTTCGGCCATTCCATCTCCAGGATCCGCCGACTCAGGCGACAGGAACCGGGGGGTGGCTCCTATGGGACTCCCCTCAGGGGATCATGTGGGAGGCCCTTCCGGCGCCCAATACAGGTCCCGCCCCCCCCGCCCCCCTGGCGCACGACTCAGACATGTCATCGACCCTTGGGGTTCCTCTACTTCCCTGCCCGGGTCCGTGTTACTATTCCGCTCGGACTCACCCCGGAATTCAGCGCGCTCCCCCCGACCTTTCCAGGGCACCCCCCCGAGGGACCCCACCAAGCGCCATTCATCCTCTTCACAACATTCAGGCTACCCAACTCGTCCCACCCTCCCAACGAGGGCGGGGCTGTTACTCCCACCTCCTCGTGGCCTCCAAATCCTCAGGTGGATGGAGAGCAATCCTAGACCTAATACGGCTTAATCGTTTCCTGATCCACCGCAGTTTTCAGATGCTCACCTTACAGTCCTTCTACTGGGCTCCAGGTGAGGGAACTGGCTCTCTCCTACAGACCAGACTTCCCAATCCTGTTACAATCTCCACCGCTCCAATACGTGCCCCCCCCCTTGGGTTGGCATCTGCCCCGAGAACCCTTACCAAGGTCCTCGCGGCCCTAGCGCCTCACCTCAGAACCCCCCCCCCGGGCGTCTCCACTGACACCTGGATGACTCCTCATCCTGTCCCGCTCCAGACGCCAAGCAGAGGGACACCAGAGCTACTCTCGCTGCCCTCCAAGACCACTTCCTCGCAAACTGACAAGGGCCATTTGTCGCCATCTAATTGGATAACCCCTTGGGGTCCGTAATAGTTCCGGTTAAAGGGAAAGGTCCCTTATTTCCTCAGAAGTCCCCTTAACATCCAGAATTCTGTCAAGCGTATCCAATGATCAAAAAAGGGGTAACTCTATTAGAAGGGCCTAAACTATTGGCCGAGATGGTCTCAGGCATTCCCATTGTTCCCTGGGCCCATTTACGCACCAGACCCCTACAGGGTTCCTGCTCCCATTTCTAAGGCCGGCAGAAGCCATTCGAAATTCTTGTTCCAGGTTCCACCAGGGGTCCTCACGTCTCTTCTCGAGTGGACCAACCCCATCATCAACGAGGGTCATTACCTCTAGGAGCCCCAACAGCTCACCCTCCCCACAGATTCCAGCCTGTCCAGAGGGGGCGCCCTCTTCCACTCGCTCACAGCTCGGGGCAAATGGTCGGAGACAGACCGGGTATGTAGGTTAGACTAGTTGGAACTCATGCCACTGTTCTGGCCCTTCATAGCTCCCTCCCACAGGTACGTGGGCGTCTTGTCCTTACCCTCTCGGGCAGCGTCATCGCCAGGCTCATGTTAACAGACAAGGGACCACACAGTCCATACAGTTGATGAGAGAAGCCTAGCGCCCCTGCTACCGGGCGGTGTGCATTCTTCTCTGTCTCAAAGTAGAGCTCATTTCTGTTCAAGGAGGCTCCCACGACCTCCAGCCTACCGATACGGGTCCTCTTGGCATCCCTTCTCAATGCACGTCTCCCAAGATTCTCGAGGCACCCCTCCCAGGGGCCGAAAACTACAATGCCCCCGTTACCCCTGGCCCCCAGGGTCTCTATAGGCATTCCCTCCACTAGACCTAGTCACGCAGTCATTTTGGATCTGCTTCACAAAAAGCAGAACTGCTTCTGGTGGCCCTCTTCTGGCCCAGGTGCCCATGATTGCGGTCCTCCACAACCTATTGGTGGCTCCTCTCGGGAAAATCCCTCCGAACGGGACCTCCCCTCCTCAAGCCCCCCCTCTACATCCGGATCCCCTGCAGCTCACCCTAGCCGTCGGCAGGTTGAATGGAGTCGCCTGGGAAGCGAGAATCTCTCTGACCAGGTTAGTGATACCATCTTAGCTGCCAGTTGGTCCTTATCTACCTGAATCTATGATACCACTCGGAATAGCTTCCGCACGTGGGGTCATAAGTCCCAAGTCAGCCTCTTTCACCCCCCGTCACTAGATCTTACTTGTCACAGGCTCCGCCAGGACCAGCGGAATAACAGCACATCTCACCAAGGTGAGGCCTCGGCAGTTTGGGCCACCACGGCCCCAGCCATTGGCATTTGCCAGGCCACCACCTGGGCCTACTCATCTCCCTTCAGGAGACCTTACAGATTTGGCACATTGCCTCAGCGGAGGCCTCGTTTGGCAGACGAGTCCTACAGCGGGTCCTCAGGACCTGGAGAGGCTCACGAACCAGACGGAGTCCCTCCCATAGGACAGCCAAGCTTTGGTATGTCCCACTCTCTGGATGATCCGAGCAGCTCTAAGGAGAATGGGTGTTGGTTCTTACCTGACACGCCATTTCTCTTCGAGCTGCGAGGATCATCCAGCCCCACCCTATTCTTTCACCGTCTGGTGGGGTCTTGTTTCGGCCAATGAACCTTAAGTCTAGTAAGATGAGAGTATGAATTTCTCTTTTCTCTCGCTTTCGCATAAACTGGGGAACGCCGGCAACGGAGCCACGTGATGGAAGGCGGAGCGTTTCTCAGTAATTAAGCTCAGCCTACAACGACGCAGACTGAAGCACTACCCACTCTCTGGATGATCCTCGCAGCTCGAAGAGAAATGGCGTGTCAGGTAAGAACCAACGCCCATTTTATGCACGAAGAAATATGGACCCAACTGACACACTGGAACAGAAAGAAGGTTTTATATGTTTGTTTTTTGTTGTTATAAAAATAAAAAACTTTAATTAAAAAAAAGATGAGAAGCGAAATTTCTTCAAAGAAAAAACAAAGTCCAGTTGCCTCCTGAAAAAGCACCTTTGGGACTGGTTTAAGGTGGGACCTTTACACAGGCCTAGTAGGAGTGATCCCCTGGTCCTCTTCCTGTGTAAAGTCTTTTGTAATCTCCACTTTGGTGTGTTTTCATTGAGCATTGCACACAGGGCGCCGGGTCCAGCTTTCTGGGCTAGCACAATAAAATGTAAATAATGCAGATAGTCCTTGACTTATGACCATTTAACGACTGTTCAAAGTTACGGCACTGAAAAAGTGACGTGCGGCTGTCACAGCTTCCTCTTTGCCACGTGATCAAAATTGGGCTGCTTGACAATGGGCACGTATTTATGACCGTTGCAGTGTCACGTGATCGCTATTTGCAACCTTCCCAGGGTGCTTTTGACGATGAGGGGGTGGAGGGAGAAGTCATATTTGTTTAACAATGGACTGATTTGCTTAATGGCCACAGTAAAATAGGTCATAAAGTTGGGTGTGATTCTCTTTAAAAAAATGCATTGCTTCGTGACCAAAATTCCAATCCCAATTGTGGTCGTACTTTGAGGACTATGTGAGAAAAATAAAGTAAGACTTGGTGCTGTTTGATAAAGGCTTATATATGTAATTGTAAGGCGTGAAAAAGATTTAATATTAATCTGTCTGTTGAAATTGTAATCTGAATGTATATGTCAATATGTGGATCTTCTTTCCCCATGTCTTTAGTTCCTTATTTTGAAGGATGTAGGGAATTGGGGCTGTTGGAAATGAGGAACTAAATGCCAGCAGTACATGCTAGAATAACATTGTTGAAATATTGAGATAGAAAGGAGGGGAAACTGCCCCAGTTGCTACTGTGTTTCCCTGGAAGTAAGACCCAATCTTATTTTCTTTTGGGCTCCAAAATAAGCACCAGGTCTTATTTACAGGGGCTGTCTTACCTGCTTACCTTAGGACCACCTCAGGCACACCTCCCACGCCCTGACACCTATCGTGCCACTGTCCGACATCTGCAGCCGCTTGTGGCCAGACGCAAGGCTCGTTGCACTGTTGCCACCGCTCATGGCAGGAGGCTGTGTGGCGTGTTGTGCACACGAGCAGCAGCACCAGCATGACAAGCCATGCGGTGGCCTGCAAGTGGTGGCACCAGCATGATGCGCCACATGGTGTATGGCCATGAGCCATTGCAAGCAGCTGCAGAAGAAGTATGGCAATGGCGCAACAGGTGTCTGGGCATGGGAGGTCTGGCTGCGGCAGTCCTAACTTAAAACGGGTGCATGGTGTGTGGGGCAGCTCCACCGTCCCGCCCTCACCCTAGCTTGATTTTTACACCTGCGCCTCACCCCACCTCATACAACCAGATAGGTGGGGCTTAACTAGGGCTTATTTTTGGGATAGGTCACATTTTCAGGGAAACACTATATGACAACGCAGAATTCCAAAAGCCTTATGCTTGTGGGATTAGGGCATATAATGTAACATTGGACAGTGGGTCGGGGGCCACTTTTGACTGCTTGTCCGATTGGTCCTCGTTGCAATGTAAGTTCCTTATGTTTGCTATGCTCCAAATTCTAATAAACCTCTGGATCCTAAAAGAAGATGTTTTTACGGTGTGTTGTCCGTTCAATTTCTAGTAAGTGCAGCTTTTCTAATAATTCGATTTTCCCCCTGAGATCTTTAATAATAATACTAATTTTAAAAATGTGAATGCAGCTTTACTTTTACTTTAAAAAAAATCTTTAGAAAGAATCAGCTCGCAGGTGAAAACACTTTTTCTCAAGTTTTTGGGAGATACTTACTGGCCACAGTAGTCATGTCTGAATTAGGTGTGCAACCTAACCTGGCTTGAATTAAACTTTCCTCTTTTTTTTTTTTCCTCACGCAGACTTTCCACACACCAAGTCTGGGAGATGAAGAGTTCGAGATTCCACCCATTGCCCTGGACGCTGACCCCTCCTTGGCTGTTTCTGATGTGGTTGGGCACTTTGAGGACCTGGGTGACCCCGTGACTGCTCCCGATGCCACATTCTCGGCCCAATATGGGGTTCAGGCCCTTGACATACCTGTGGGCATTAGCCATGGTCTTATGGAGCAAGGGGGCGGGCTGCTGAGTGGTGGGCTAGCCATGGTAAGCCAAACATCATAAGAACTGGTTTGGAGAGGTCAAACAAGTGGAAGGGGAATGGTTTTCTGTTGCTGATTTGACCACAGTTTACTCATTTAGGAAAGCTAAATTGAATGCTGGTTGAAACCGTCTTTCAGCAGCACCATAAGTTTAATGAAACATAAAACCAGTGCAAAGCTCCATTCATGTGAATGGAGCTTTGAGCGTAAGCACCCTCCGCTTGCACAAGGAAAGCTTCACACACATGCTGATTTCTCCCGCACCCTGGGTTTGAACAAGCCGCAGTCTGGTGCTGTTTACTATTTGGTGTAGCACCTCAAATATTGCTTCACCATGGTGTTAGTTCGTTCTGCCACACCATTTGTGCTCGGTTGAAAAGCCAAACTAAGGCCCTGGGAGGAACCAAGTGCCTGGCTTAGAAAGTCAGGACACAAACAGAATACAGGTAGTCCTTGACTTACAACAGTGAAATGGCAGTGGAAAAAGTGACTTACAACCATTTTTCACATGACCATTGCCGCATCCCCATAGTCACATGATTTACTTTCAAATGCTTCACAACTGGTTCGTATCTATGGTGGCAGTGTCACAGGGTCATGTCATCCCCTTTTGCGACCTGACAAGCAAAGTCGAGGGGCAAACCAGATTCACTTAATGACTGGGTTACTAATTTAACAATTGCAGCGGTTCACTTAACGAATGTAGCCAGAAAAGTCATAAAACGGGACAAAACTCGCTTAACAAATTTCTCACTTAGCAACAAGTCTCAGTTGTGGTCATAACTTGAGGACTATCTGTAAATGGATCATAGAGGACTCCTGCTGGTGTGTGTGTGGGGGCGACCCCAATCAATGTTTATGGAGTCATCCAGGTCATGGTTGTCCCAAAGATGCTTTTTTGAAGAGGCAACTGGACCTCAGAAAGTCCAGTTTCCTCTTGAAAAAAGCACCTTTGGAACCCCCAATCAAGTTGTCTGCATAGCTGTGGTGTGAACAGCTGGGCAACCTCTGGCCAGGAAGCTAATGTGGCACCTGGCTTCATGGCAGAAGCTGCCTTTCCCTACATCTGTGTTCTAAATTGACTTCACTCTTTTTCTAGGATTTGGATCACTCCATGGGAACCCAGTATGGCGCCAATCCACCTGTCACCATTGACGTGCCTATGACAGACATCAGCAGTGGCATCATGGGGCATGGGCAGCTGACCACCATCGACCAATCGGAGCTGAGCTCTCAGCTGGGGCTCAGCCTGGGAGGAAGTTCTATCCTGCCTCCTGTGGCCCAGTCCCCCGAGGAGCGGCTTACACCCACCCCCTCACCCTCCAATTCACTGCAGGAGGAAGAGCCAGAAGAAATCAGGCGGGTGAGTTTCAGCTGGTTGGCTGTTGAGATGTGGAGAATTTTTTTTATTTTATTTTTTTATTTTTAACATACAATAAATCCATTCCATTTCAATCGTGTGTCGATTAGGTACATATTTCATGTGCTTAACAATTACTAATATTCTTCTTAACAGTATAACCATATAATAATAGTTACATTACCATATATATAAGTAATATTCAGTATATCTATTACATTAATTTCTCTTATTGCTTTATAATTATGTCTAATCCCTTTTAATTAATTTTATTTTCTAGCCATTTATAAAACAAGTCCCATACCATGTAATATTCAGATTCTTCTTTTCCTTTAATTTCTAATATTAACCTATTCATTTCTGCACATTCAAATATTTTTTCAATTATTTTTCCCTCTTATCGGTATCTTATCACTGTTCCAATTTTGAGCAAATACAATTCTAGCTGCTGTTAATACATGTATAATTATGTTTTTTTTCTTTACTATAACCTTCAGGTACCATTCCTAATAAAAATATTTCAGGCTTAAAATATATGTTGTTTTATCATTTTTTTCAATCGTGTGTATTTTAGTTTAATATCTTTTAGCTTCTATACAAGTCCACCACATATGGTAATATGTTCCTGGTGTTTGGTGACATTTAGTTGATTTATCTTTGAACATTTCCACTAGTTTTGCTGGCGCTAAGTGCCATCTGTAAAACATCTTATACAAATTTTCTTTATATGCTGTCAATACTGTCAATTTATAATTCCTGTCCCATAACTTCTGCCATCTATCTAATTCTATAGCATATCCAAAAAAATTTGTCCATGCTATCATTGTTTCTTTAACCTGTTCATCTTCCAACTTAACACCTAATAAATAACAATATAATATTTTAATCAGTTTGAGAGGTAAGTTTGCCTGCAGCTTGTGTGCCAGCGCAAAACTTAAATCCCGGCAGCTTTCCATCTTCAGGGCAGCCATTTTAGAATGTCGTTTCTCCCTGTCTTCCAGGGGAGTAATACCTAACCAGGGAGGGGAGATATGGCTCAGAAGATGAAGATGATGCAGATGTCACTGTTTTTCTCATCTTGGAATATTTAACTAATTATCTCTTATCAATCTGTAATCCACAAGATCTTTCCCCAAACAAGAAGAATTTTCTTTAAATTCTTCTATACCTTAATCCAGGGGTCGCCAAACTTTTGGGCCTCAGGGACCACCAAACTCATAATTTTAAATCCTGAGGACCACTAATATGATTTTTTTTAAAAAGATAATATATTTAATATAAAAATTTTAAGTTTTATATTAAATATAAATTTAATATTAAAGATTAATTTTTAATATATAAATATATATGTGAATATATATAAATATATATATTTAATATAATTTTTAATATAAAATGGTTTGGTGGTCATATGACTTGGGTGAGCATGGCCATGTTGATCTCACTTCTTTGTCCTTGTTCTCTCTCTCATTTCTCTCTCTTGCTTTCTTGTCTCTCTTCTCTTTCTCTCTTGTCTCTCTCTCTCTCTCTCTCTGTCCCTGGGAGTGTGGGGGGGGGAGGTGGTGGGAATCTGACATGGTTGGTCATCTTGACTTTGCTGCGGAAGGTAAGCTGAAAGAGCAAAATAAGGCAGGAAAAGCTCCAGGTTGTTTTGAGCCCCTCCTTGGCCATCTGGGGAGTGAAGAAGAGAGGGGGAAATTCCTAAGGAACTGGTCCCGTGGGGTGAGCTTCATTGATTCCACTGGCACTTGCAGAAGTGGCTGACTCATGCCACGGAATTGTGGAAGGGAAGGGAGAAACTCTTGGAGGAAAGTTCATCAAAAGTTGCAGTCCTTCACACGCACCCCTCATCCCCCTCCCCAAATCCTGAAGATCCCCAGGTTAGAGAAGGGCTGCTAGGGAAAAGGGCGGCTAGAGGCTTTTCTCTCCTGGATTGCGACCTTTGGCACGTCGGGGTGTCAACTTTGCAGGGCTTTTTGCTTTGTTTTCTCTCTCTCTCCCACCACCGGTACCACCCCTAGTGCTGACATGGGTGCGACCAGGCGGCTGTGGGCAGGGCCAACCAGGGGTGATTGTTCAGTTTGGCGATCTGAACCCTCCCTACCACCTGGTGCAAGGTGGTCAAATTTCACCACTGCTTTGGTGGCTTCAAATGAGGGGAGTGGAGGAGGGGGAGACTTATAGTCATGATTTTGGGAACCAATTTGGAGGCCAGTGAGCCCTGCCCTCCCTCTTGTCCTCTCTCAGCCTTCAAAATTGTTTCCAAAGGCAGCGAGGAAGCCGTAGAGGCGCAGGCGCCTTCTGCCAGCCACATTTGAAATAGAAGTGGGAGGGAGGCGAGGGAGAGCGCCCTTTATCTTTAGAGGTGGAGTTTTAGCTCCGAACTCCTGATGGGGAGATGGTGGGCTACCTTTGAGGAAGAAGGCTTCGGAGTGAAGCACTATGGTTTTCATTATAAGCCTCCCCCTCCTCTACTCTCCTTGTTTGAATGCTGCCCCAGGCCGGCTGGGAACCAATTTGAAGGCCAGTGAGCCCCGCCCCCCTCTAGTCCTCTCCCAGCTTTCGAAATTGGCTCCAAAGGTAGCGAAGAAGCTGCAGGGCGCTGCTGCCAGCCACATTTGAATGTCGCTCCTCTAACCTGGAGATTGGAGAACAAATGCTACTCACATTTGCGTGGCATTAGCATTCTGCCTTCGCCACTGCGCCCCTGCAACAGCACCATTACTCATTCCGGCAAGTGAGGGTTGTGCTCTGTTTTGCACATTGCACCACCTGCAAATTTACACATTTCACATGCCACCCCCCCATGGAGATTTCCAGTTCCACCACAGACTAGTCCCATATTCCAGAGCTGCTGTAGTCAGGACTGGCCCTTTGGTCATCCTGGAGCAGCTCCTCAATGGCAGGCGGGTGCACCCAGGTGGAAGAGCTGCTCTGGGGTGATCAAAAGGCCAGTCCTGACTACTGCAGCTCTGGAATATGGAACTGACTTTGCCACCAACATCAGCAAGCCACCCCGGGACGGATTTCCCTCCCCCGGCTTTGGTCTTACCTTCCAGTTCCAGCTTGCGTGGCTCTACTGCAGGTAAGATTTGCAAAGGGTGGAGACCAGCAGTGGGCAGGCCATGTGGGTAGCGCAGCCTTCTGTTTCTGCACAGCCTGGATTAATTGCTTTTTTGGGGGGAGTGCTTTGGTCCACTCTGCGGACCACCAAAATTTTCTCATGGACCACCAGTGGGCCGTGGCCCACTGGTTGGTGACCACTGCCTTAATCCACTATGTTGTAATCCAATGAAAAGGTAGAGAGAAGAAAAAGAACATCACCAAAAGAGCTCAGTGAAAATGAGGGCGTCCCAGAAACAAGTGCGAAACAGACATAAAAAGAAGAAAAAATTAAGTGCAAGAATTAATTCCACCAATAATATGAAAAAAAGGGAGAAAAAGTAATGCAATCCGATTTAAGGAAAAAGGCCAATATCCATAAAAGAGAAAAAAAGGAAAAGGAAAAAAAAGATGAAAAAAGGAAAAGGAAAAAAAATGGAATGGGAAAAAATATGAAATGGAAAAAGGGAAAAAAAGAAAAAAAATCTTTAATAATATCCACTAGGAAGGAATGATAAAATCCAGCTATAAATTCTTTATGTCACCACCTTTCAATGTACAGTCTCACGATTTCTCCTTACTATCTTCCACAGTGCAGTTTGCCACTCTATCCAAACAGCTTAGATGGGGGAAAAAAGGTAGAATGAAAAAATAAGCAGTTCAGTGAAAGGAGTTCTCGTTTCTATTTCTTTGTGTCTTCTTTGTTTCTTTTAGTGTCCAAGGATTACACTGTTTCCAATATAAATTCTCAGTGCAATCCTCTATTCCAGTAGATAGTTGTATCTTTGTTTAGTCTTCTCCCTCAAGGTCAATCTAATCCAGTGGTTTCCAAAGTGGGTGGTACCGCCCCTTGGTGGACGATGGGATGCCTTAGGGGGGCGCTAAGAGGCAAGGGGGCTGGCAGGGGGGCGCTAAGAGGCAGCAGGGGGGCACTGGCACTCTGTCTGGCAGCCTTGCGGGGGGGAACAGGTGGCATGCAGATGGCTACATCTCTCTCCCCCCTTGTCATCTAGGGCAGCAGCTCTTCCCAGAATCTACCCATGAAATGAACGTGTGTGTGTGTGTGTGTGTGTGTGTGTGTGTGTGTGAGTGAGGAGGAATGTGTGTTGAGGGGGAGGAAACGTTTTTCTTGGAGTTTTGAGCTGGGAGGGGCCAGAATGAGCTGAAGCACCAATGGGAATTCTCCCTGCTCCAGTGTCATCTGTCTCCAGGCAGACTCTCCCTTGACTTCACCTGATGGAGGAGAGAGTTCTGAGCAGAGAGAGAAGCGGAGAAAGTGGGAAGGGGATCTTTTCAATCTTGGGGGGCTGCATTCTAGGAAGGTCTTTCATGCCAGCTCCGGAGGGGAGGGTGGACTTCCTTTGGCGTCCCCCCCCACAATGATTCTCATCAGTCTCCCTTTCTCTGTGCACCTGGAGGGGCGGACTAGATGCCCTTTGAGTTCCCACAGTGCCCAGAGGGTGCCCAGGCTGGAGCTGCCGAGACTCCAGATGGGTAAAATGGAGCCAGAGCTTGAGGAGTCCTTCAGGCTCCTCCCCCACTCAGTCTGGAAGGAGGAAGCCCCCAGCAGGTATTGCGGAGGACAAGGGGGGAGGCGCAGCCCCACAGACAGCCAGGACATCCCACTCCCCCCCAATCGGAAGGGAAGCCAGGCAAACTTTCAGCTGACAGTCCATGCAGGAAGAGACGGAGAGGATCTGCAGGGATCCCCCCTAATCCAGCCGGATCCGCTCCCCAGGCCCTCTCCCCTTGATGGGGAGATTTCCATAGGGATCTCTTGGGTTTACAGGAGAAAACGGCGTTTTCTGTCCTTGAAACCCATGTCTCTCTTGAAGGGCCCCTTCCGATCCCCCCTCAGCCCCCAATGGGAAGGCATCTCCCCCTTTCTTTCTGTGGCTCAGGATCCCACTTTTCCTTGCAAAGGAGCCCCTGATGGAGATCCCGGAACAAAGTTTGGCCGTTTCTCCTCCATTTTCCGCTCCTTTCCTTGGACAATTTCAACATCTGCCCATCATTTCAAAGCGCAATAATCAATACTTTCATCAGAAAAAAATATACAAGGTAACATTTTGGGGGGAAATTGCCAATATAAAAATGCGGACATAGAAGTGGAGTCATGATGAACTTTTTTTCCCTCAGAAATTTGCATATCTCAGCTGTGGAATAGGAAGCGCTGCTATAACAAGGGTCCTTTTTCTAATGGTTTTTCTTCATTATTTCTTTATTATTATTTTATCATGGTGTAAAATAGAAAAAAAAATAAAGCAAGTGAGGAAATGAGAAAAGGAAGGAAAGGGAAGGAGAAATGTGGGAGAAAGGAGGCGCCGGCTCCGCAGGCACGTAGGGAAGCATCGCCACTGCTACATTCTAGGTGCCGGTCCCACAGGTCCACCCCATTGAGCCCGCTGCACCAGAGGGACCTGCCCAAGCAAGTCCAAGCGGAGCAGTGCACCAAGTCAATGGGGTGAGCCTGAGAGAGGGAAAGAGAGAGAGAAAAGAAAGAGAAAGAGAGAAGGAAGAAAAGAAAGAAAAGGGAAAGAAAGAAAAAGGAACAAAGAAAGAGGGGGGAGGGAGAGAGAGAGAGACCTGATGCATCAGTTTGAAATGAGGCCTAGTTTAGACTTGAGGTCCTTTTCCACATTGAAACATCTTTGTCAGCACATTGAAACATCTTTGGCTTCTATTAAAGGTTTTGTGGATGAAACATGGTCAAGACTATGAGGAAGCTCTCATGTTTTGTTGAGGCTTTAAACTGGATCCATTGGACCAGACCTCCAGCCTAAAAAATTACTTTTCCCCAATGTATTACAGTGCCAATTCTGAAGAAGGCAAAATCAATGTATTACAGTGCCAATTCTGAAGAAGGCAAAATCAAAATGTACTGGTAAATTACAAGGAGAACACACACACACACTCCCTTCTAACCCTGCTGGATCAGGTGATTGGACTATAATAGATATCTCATTATCTTTCTCCTCCCTCCCTCTCTCCCTCCTTTTTTATTTCTTTTTCTTTCTGTCCCTTCCTTCCATCCCCCCCTCTTTGTCCCTTTTTCTTTCTTTCCCTTTTCTCTTTCTTTTCTTCCTTCTCTTTCTCTCTCTCTCTCTCTCTCTCTGTTTTCTCTCTCTCTTTCCCTCTCTCAGGCTCACTCCATTGACTTGACTTGCTTGGGCAGGTCCCTCCAGTACAGTGGGCTCAATGGGGTGGACCTGCAGGGCCGGCACCTAGAATGCGGCAGTGGCGGCATGTTTGAAAAGTAGAGCAAAGCCAGAGGTCAGTAATTTTTGCTACAAAGAATCACAAAAGCTTCTGGGTTGTGCACATTGACAATCATGTTAATGCAATTCAGCAACATAAAATAAAGAGATACAAATAAAACAAATCAACAAGAATCGGCAAAGCATCTCTGATTAGATTTTATTCACTACTAGAATCTAATCAGAGATGCTTTGCCGATTCTAGTCCAATGACCTGCTCCAGCAGGGTTAGAAGGGAGTGTGTGTATATGTGTGTGCATGGTGGTCAAAACTCCAAAAACAGGTCAAGTAGCTCTGGGGAGGCCAGTCATAAATTAGAACACTTGCTAAACAACTGGCCATTAAGTGAGGACCACTTGTATTTGGTTTGCCAGTCACCTGGCTACGCCCACCTAGTCACATGACCACCAAACCACAGCTACCAGGTCACATGACCAGCAAGTCACACCCAGCCAGCAAGCCATGCCCACCCAGTCATGTGACCAGCAAGCCACGCCCACCCAGTCACATGATCAGCAAACCACACCCTCAAATTAGGCCACACCCACAGAAATTTGAATCCCACCCCTGGATGGTGGGCACTGAGGATGAACTTGTAGCACCAAGGGGTCGGTGGACTGAAAAAGTTTGGGAACCACTGATCTAATCCATTCTCTCAATTTTTCCCCGCAGTAGGTGGCATTGTTGCACTGCCTTCCCTTTAACTTTTAAGTGTTAGAATTGTCTTGAGTCTTTTAAAAGTAAAAAAAGTTTTAAAAATCAGGGAAAAGTAACAGTTCAAGAGTAAAATAGTCCAATTTCTTTTCTTGGTCACCTTAGTTCATTAGTTTTAGTTAATCCAGTCCAGTTTCAAAGATAATTGTAAAGAGTTCTTATTCTTTGTTCAATAATTAATGGCTTCCTCTTTCTATTCACGCCACCCACCCTTTAGTTCTGGCTTTCTCTTCACCCTTTTCTTTTCAGGGGGCTCTTTGTTATTCATAAAGTTTGAAAGTTCTCACCTAATTCTATCACACTTCCTCTTTTCTTCTTTCTACCAGAGACTGCCCCAGCTTTGTAGCGGTTCAGTGACCGCTTTCAAGTCGGCTAGAGAAGCTATCTCTTGATCTATCAGGGATATTGCGGTATCCCTGGGATCAGCAGAGTGTCCTCTCCTCGATCATCATCTCTCAAGATGATTTAGGTCCAAAGGACCACTGGCTTTCAGGATATCGACGTCCTCCCTAGGAGCTCCTAGAGATTCACGTTGTCTCGGCCGTGACGTCAGCTCCTCCCCCTCGAGATGTGGAGAATTTGAGGGGTGTCCTCAATGCTCTTTGAGCTTGGCTGTTTTCTTGCAGACGTCTCATTACCCAACGAGATACCATCATTATTGCAAACTCAACCCCTTTCTAGCACAGGTGATGCCCAGCCCTTTATAGTTTTTGAAACAGCCCAGCTGTTATCTATAGATATTCTCGATCATCCTGGTCATAGTTGTCCCAGAGGTGCTTTTTCCAAAAAGCAATTGGACTTTCTCGATTTTTGTTTATTTTAGTATTTGAAAACATTTCACTTCTCAGCCAAGAAGCTTCTTCAGTTCACATAAGTAAGTTTTAAAGTTGCCAAGGTTGGAGACCTCTGGAATAGAACACGGTTTCTCAACCTTGCAAACTTTAAGACATGTGGACTTCAACTCCCAGCATTTGCTGGCTGGGAAATTCTGGGAGTTGAAGCCCAAAGTTGCCAAGGACAGGAACACTGGAATAGAGGCTAATGCAAATGAGATCCAAAATAAAATCTATTCCACCTATCCACAGTTATAGGCTCCATCTCTTTCTGAATACAGAATAACAGAGTTGGAAGGGACCTTGGAGGTCTTATAGTCTAACCCTTGCTGAGGCAGGAAACCCTATATCATTTCAGACCGGTTGCCCAGTCTCTTTTTAAAAACTTCCTGTGTTGGAGCATTTACAACTTCTGGAGGCAAATTGTTCCACTGATTAATTGTTCTCACTGTCAGGAAATGTCTCCTTAGTTCTAGGTTGCTTCTCTCCTTGATTAGTTTCCACCCATTACTTCTTCTGGCTTCAGTTGCTTTGGAGAATAGCTTGAGTCCCTCTTCTTTGTTGCAGCCCCTGAGATATTGGAACACATGATATTAACAAAAGTGGTATTAACACTTCACCTGATCTGGATTCTATCCCTCTGTTAATGCAGCCTTGGATTGCATTGCTGACTTTGTTCATCTTTGTCCTGTAGCAAGTTTCTGTCACCAAACCGGGCCCACCTGCTTCGGTGGCACCCCCACTGGTGGTAGCACCCACTGCTGTGCTGGACGTCGGGAAGAAGCAGAAAGCACCCAAGAAGCAGAAGAAAAAGAAGGACCCCAATGAGCCTCAGAAGCCTGTCTCTGCCTATGCCCTCTTCTTTCGGGACACCCAGGCGGCCATTAAAGGGCAGAACCCCAAAGCCACCTTCGGCGAGGTGTCTAAGATTGTTGCCTCGATGTGGGACAGCTTGGGAGAGGAACAGAAGCAAGTACGTCGCAAAGGGTTTGTTGTGCCGAGTGGTTATAGGGGTGGGACGCATACCCATAGCCAAACTTCAGCACCAAGGACAGCACCCCAGAGAGTCTGTCCAGAGCCCTCAAAAAAATGGTCAATTCCGCATTCAAACATGTTGCACAAAAATTGAGCCAGAAAAATCAATTCAGTTGATCAATGAAGTTGATAATTGGCAGGAATCAAGTTGAGGAAGGCTAGCTGGTCCTTCAAGGAGTAGAAGCTTGGAAGTTAGAGCAATGTTTCCCAAGCTTAGCCATTTTAAGACGTGTGGAGTTCAGCTCCCACAATACTCCAGTCAGGAGTGGAGAATTCTGGGAATTGAAGTCCACAGATCCTAAAATGGTGAAAGTTGGGAAACACTGCATTATGGGATTTCTTATAAAGATGTGTCCATGTGAAATAACCTCTTGGGAGAGGAACACATGAAGTCCTCCTCCTAAATTCCTAAATCTGAGTTCCATGTGATATATTGAGCAGAATTAAAGTGGAGGGTTTTTCTCAGCTCTTTTTGACTTGGAGAATCAAAGACCTTGGCCACTTTTAAGACGTGGACTTCAATTCCCAGCATATGCTGGGTAGGGAATTCTGGGAGGGGTTTTTTTTTGGTATAAATTTTTATTTTATTTTTTACAACAAATCCATCTTCCATTTAAAATAGTGTGTCAACTGGGTACAAATATATTGTGCAATAATCATTACAATTGTAATTAATCCAAATTTCTTACTGTAATATCAATAACTATATTCTTATTTTATTACCATATCTAATATATCTTATTGTTATCCATCTTTATTTTCCAACCATTGATAAAATAAATCCCATATCATATAATACTCAGTTTGTCTAATTCCATAGCATGGCCAATTTTTTTTGCCCATCATCTCCTTTACTTGTTCTTCTAACTTGACACCCAGTAGGTAACTATACAATTTCTTAATCAATTTTTCTTCCATTCCTGTTAATATTTTATCCAATTCTGTCAATTCTTTGTAGAAACCTTCTATTTTGACATCTTTTTCATATCTAGACTGTATTTCCATATATGAATACCAAAGCATATCAATCCCTTGTTCATTCAATTCTTGTTTAGTTTTGAGCTCACCCTTTTCATTCAAAATATCTTTGTATCTAACAATATTTCCCATTTTAATAACATTTGGATGTACAAGTGCTTCCATTGTCGAAAGCCAGACTGGAATCTTCAGATAGTCTTGTTCTCTAGTTTTCTCCAATGTTAACAATAAAGCATTTCTTATATAATATCTTTGAAAATAACCATGTATTTGGACTTCGGGTGATGACGTCAGGACAAAAAGAGGCGACGAAGAACGAGCTCTGTTCTTCACCCCTTTTTCTTGGTGCTGGAGCGACCCTGTGGGGTACACGGATCCTGAAGAGACTTGTGACGGCCTGAAGAAACTCGAGAAACAGAGCAGTGGAGGGGGACCGCCCCCACAACGAAGAGAAACCCTTTGAGCCTAGCACGCAAGAGGCTGCCATCTCTGAATGGTAGCCCTGAAGTCCTGATAGCCCAGCTGAAGGAGGAAGCAAGGTTTGAAGACCGCAGGGTGTGACAGAGATTAAACCGGACAGTGCAGAGGGTGATCGCGGTAAATAGAGACAGCTTAGAAGAAGGTTCGTAAGTTGCGGAAGGCAAAAGAGGCAGAAGGCAGATCGGAGCTCCGGAAGCGCAGCGAATGGGCGGAGGTGAGAACGATTGGAGAGTGATCGGGGAGCAGAAGCCCTTTAAACCGGAAGTCCCGTACACATGATTCCTGAGTCAAGCGTCTCCCGAGTCAAGAAGTTCTCCTTTTCTTGGTCAACCGAGTTTTATTATTATACTCTAAATGTAGCAGTTTGCTTATACATACAAGTCCAATGATTGGTTTAGCCCAGGGATAGCAGCCTAGTAACAATGTGCTAATTGGCTAATACAAGTACGTTTTGAAAGCGTGCAGGTGGGTGATGTCAAGCATATAGTTGAATGCATGTTAGTTTCCTGAGGAAAAATCTTTACTCAAAAATAGCACAGATCAGAATCTGAGGGGAAAAACCTTTTTACTTTTTTTTTTTTTTGAAAACAATTTTATTGGTTTTTTAACAAGCAAACAAACAAACAAAGACATAAAAACATAAGACATAAGAACATAAAACATCTTTTCCAAGAACTACTTACGACATCTCATTTAAGTACAATATAATTCTAAATTATCACATTTCCACACATAACTTAATAAGCATCTTATATATTCAACTTCATATCTTATTACTGTTTTCCACCTTCTTACTGTTCCTTCCTTTATTTCTATTCAGTTTTATTCATTCATATATTTCATCTTACTATATTTCATATTGTTACTATTTCGTATGTTCTTATCTATAAACTGACAAGACATATAACATAAAGAGTATAAAACTTCTTTTTGGAAAGCGGCTTAACCCCGGGTTGTAACTTTTGGTACAGACTTAAAATTAAATTCATGCTCAACTTATATACTATTTCATATCTTATTTAAAATTCTACATTTAACAAATATCTTCTCCCCTCTTTTCACTCTCTTAATTCTATTTTATTTATTTAATCTCATTTTAAATCATTTCACATGTATTTTTTGTCTGTTCTTTTTCAATCCTCCATTTGTCTTTCTCTTAAACACAAACTTTTTCCTGTAATGACTGGTTGAAGTATGACACCTTTCTATTTTCCCCCCAAATTCAACGCTTAAAATTAAACGTTATTTCTATTCTGATTCTGCTTAGTACATTCTAAATGACATTTTAAAATAAAAACAAACAAACATAGTATTCTTATAAATATTAGAAATAATATTCCCTAACAAATTAGTTAAATACACATCGATTACACAGTCCCTACAATATTTTATTGACACATATTTCAAATACAAATATAAAATGCAGTCTTGTGTACCTTTGCAGAATCTCTATTAAAATTTTATTTTACCCTTTGTCTCTGAAAAAAAGTTGCTTATAAACAAAACAAACAACATCTTGTTTAGAACCTTTATAACTTCCCTTCGCTTTGTCCCTTCCTTTCTTGTCAAATCCAGCCTTTTTACCCCCCCCTCTCAATCTCCCACTTTTTAAACTCCCCTCTCAATTGTATTCCTCTTTTCCATTGCTTTCTATCATTATATCGATTTTCCACCTTTCTTTTCCCTTTCTTAATTGTTTTTTTTAGAGCTTAAATTCTTGATTTTCTTCTCCTTTTTACCCTTTTTTAAAATCATATGTCCATTAAAGATGGCTTCTTCTTCATCGTCCCAGCCTCTTTCTTGTTGCATTTCCTGGTAAACAAAAATCGCCATCTCTAAAAAGCCAAAAATAGATCCAAAAGAGCCATCTTCCTCTTGCTTCAGTTTTTCAAACTGCATTTTCAATTCTTCAAAAGACACCATTGTGAACAGAAAAGGATTTATTTATTTTTCTTTTTTAAGCAGTCCAAATATTTTCTTAATCTTTCAAAAGATAGTTAAAGTCCCAAAGTCATTTGCTCTTCCTGGGGGAGAATTCAATTACATAATTCCAAGACGTTTTTTGGAAGTTTTATTACAGTTTAGTCTCTAATCCTATAAAACTCCAAGCAGTCTCCTTCAACAAACGTTAGTATAAATCATTTGCCTCTCTTCCTTCCCCCTTAAAGCAAAAAGATTTGAGTTTTAAAGTATCAAGACCTTTTTACTTTTAATAGAACAGAGAAAGGTCAGAGTCTCCAGGCAAGTTTGGTGTGCCATATTGTTGGCAGTTACCTACACTCAGCAAGTTGCTTTCAAGATAAGAGAACCGAACTGGTGGAAAGTGATTGTGAGGAGTGCAATATCTGATGAATTATTAAACTATTGATTCTTCTTCTTTTTTCTTTCTTAATTACAGCTGATTTCAAGATCTACTGAAATAAGTGTTTATATTTACATAAATTTACTAACAGAGTGCTATTTAGAAAAATACTTTATAGAAGTTAAGGGTAGATAAAGCTAGTAATACCTGATTAGAGACGTAGAGTTTAAATACCTATATTAGTCTGTATTGTATTTAATTTAATTGTATTTAATTCATTGTATTTATACCTATCATATCTATAGTCTATATTTATATTTTTACATACATTTATACATTCAGATATATTTCTTATTTAAAAATATTAATAGGGGGGATAGTTGTACCTATATGTATACCTATATATACCTATATTTACTATATTTATAGTTTATGTTTAGATTAATATTAATATTTATATATTCATATATTTACATACATATTGTTGGATAAATTTATTTAAAATTATTACTAGGGATAATTGTTGTTGATAACTGTGGAAGAATTGGGGATAATTGTAATCATTTGAATAAGTATTTCATAGTCTATATTATATACAAATCTATATAAGCTTATAATTTTCCTAAAAAGACTTTAAATAGGAAAATTGAGAGTTCTAGGAATTACAGTTATTAGAAGTATAGTATAATATTGATAATCTCTTGAAGTTAGTAGTTTATATCAATTGATGCTGATTTGGGATAACATTGATAGTATTTTAAGAAAACAGACTGAAACATTAAAAGAAATTACAAGCATTACTACTACAATGGTGAAGACTGGAAAAAAGACCACATCGGTGCCAACAACTTCAACAACGGTAGCTTCACCCCTGACACAAAAAACATGGAAGGGATGCTAGCATTAGAGAAACAGAGTCCAGCTTCAAATATCAATATACAAACTACATTACTAACACTACAGGAATCTATGTTAAAGCTCAAGGAAACGATGATGAAGAACCATACTGAAATGAGAGCAGATATAAAAAACGTCAAAGAAGAAATGGGAAAACTAAAAAGCAAAATGAAATCAGACATATCAAAATTAGATGAGAAAGTCAGTTCAATCCAGCAGGCCCTAGAAAAGAATGAACATACAATAAAGGAAGTTGAAAAACGAATGGAACGGCTTCCGGCTGGGTGCTGCGTTTATGTGGAGCTGAGCGGATCGCCGCTCTGAAAGGCTCCGATTTTCGCTGTTTGGTGGCTTCCAGGAGCATGTCGGACCTCGGAGGGGTAGACAGACGAAAGGGGAAGACGAGATCTTGGGGAGGTGCCGCGATCCTGGAGATT